ATGCCGTGTTTTTTTTTCAAAACTAGCATTAATGCATATAACTTAAGATGATAAGAAGGTAAACATTTTTACAATTATTAAAAAGTTTTGAACGTCATATGTTACCCATGGATTGGAAAGTTCGTTTTCGACGTTTAAAACAGACTTGATAGTCTTCAGTGTCCGCTGAAACTTGTTCTTCGAATGTTAAGTTAGAAAACATTTTTTTAAATTGTAAAGTTATTAATGAATTCAACCAAGTGATGTTTTTTGATGCACTCATTCTTCTGATTTTGATTTTCATATTTGAAAAAGAATGGCCGAATTGATGAAAATTAGAGGTCGATGCAAACAAAAGATATAAAGTAATTAGAAGGATAAAAGTCTCAAGTAGTAGTTGTTTTGCAACAATTTCTCAGGAGTTCGACCCTCTGCCGACCCAAAGGGTCCCAACTTTGTATTAATTTTTCGAGATATTTATTTTTGCTTGACTGGCAATGCTAATTTTGATGAAGAGAGTTACCAAAAAGGGCCTAAAAGCACATTTTTGACCTGTTTTTTTTTAAATACTTGCCTGCGACACAGAAAGTTTGTTAAAAACAGGCCTTTCGATGAAAAACAGGGCTTTTCAATGAATTAAACCAAGTGTTGTTTTTTGATGCACTCGTTCTTCTATTTTTGATTTTCATAAGATAAAGTAATTAGCAGGATAACAGTCTCGAGTAGCAGTTTTGCAACAGTTTCTCAGGACTTTGACCCTCTGCAGACCCAAAGGGTCTCACTTTGTACTATTTTGAGATATCCATTTTGCCTGACTGGCAATACTAGTTTTGAGGGGGATTTCCCAAAAAGGCCTAAATGCGCATTTTTGGCCTTTATTCAAAATCTTGCATGCGGCACAGAATATTTGGCAAAAGTAGGGCTTTTTTTGTAATTTAGGAGGCTCGGAAAATCACAATGGTCGACCTAAAAAAATTAAAATGTTTGCTCAAAATTTTTTTGAACTTTTTTTGAAAATCGGCCCCCTTCGAAAAATTCCTAGATCCGTCCCTATACACAATGGTACAACCTACATTATCGGTTCATTTATTCAATTGCGGTATTGAACTTTGGAATTTTGCGTTCTTAGTTTGAGCTTATGGCTCCTGATCACGCGATTTTGTAATGTTTGCCTTTTGGGTCGGTAATTGTAAAATAAAAGCAGAATCTTGTTTTGTAATTTCGACCAAAGCTCTTCTTAATCTGTTATCTTCTCTTCTGCCTCCATGAGGGCATGTGCAATGTTTGCACACTTACATTAAATGTCACAGTATCAAGTTTATAATTTGAACATGACCTGACGATTAGATTTTGAGAGCATGATTAAACCCATGAGATATGTCCGAAATTTGTACTCCATAAAATCATGTCCAGATTTTGAGCCTTAGGTCGCTGCACCATGACAGTCGGCGCGACTTTTAAAGTCTTGACACAAGTCGCAGGTATCTATATGTTGTGAGACGGTACAGATTTGCTATCTCATAGAGTAATTTCAGATAGACTACACCGTCTAATTGTCACCAATTTCGAATTTTAATTGGCCAATTTTGACGCGATTTTTATATCATCCGAAGAGTTCCGATGACCTAAGCTCAAATTTAATATTAAAAAATGCTAAAATTAATAATGCTAAAACATTATAAGGTTTTGGTAAAGTATGCGGGTTTTAAAATTGCCATTTGGGATAAATAATATGGGATAAAAACGAGCGATATATTTCGTGCTATAAAAGCGAGAGCGGCTAAATAAATCGTTTTTATATTCAAAAATATATAAATTGAACTGATGCAAGTAATTTGCTCCTATTATTGTGTTACAGGCTCGGAATATATAAATTTGTATATTAAATAGCGTGAAGGGAGGACAAAAAAAAACAAAGAGAACAGGAACTTCAGCATTTTTTAAATATTATATTAATTTTTGACAAATTTTCTTTTTATGCACTTTAAACGGCACTATGAAGATTCAGCGCATCGCCCTGATACGAGCAGTTTTGTTTCCCAGGTTCATTGTTCCAATGAATTAATCCAATGATTATCAACTGAGATCAACTTTATTGTTCCGACTTTCGTAACGAAAGTAACGGAATATTTGTGCTCGGGATGGTTTTTTTTTGCTTCAGACAAATTTCGACTTTTTAACTAGCCATTTTTGACGGAACTTTTTTATATCATTCAAAAGCTATTGTTGTCTTGAGCTTAAACTTGAAAGGATATTTCACCTGTGACCTTTTTTTGTAAAGTTATGGGGGTTTGAAGATTGTTATTTTGGCCAAATTGTGACAATTAACGGGCGATGTATTTCGCGCTATTAACGCGTAAGCGAGATTTAATCCGTCTGAGAATTGGTTCAAAGAAGCTCATATGCCATAATTGATTTGTTAATAGCAGCAAAATTTAACACTTTGTATTTAATATGACTGTGGGGGAATGTTTTCACAGAAAATTTTATTTCGTTACATTTAAATTTTTTATGTTATTACTGCTCCAAAGAACTTAAAAGGCAGTGGGAACATTCAGGGCTTCGCCCTGATACGAGAAGTCTTGTTCTATTCTATTTAAAAGTGGTTTGACTGCGAACAGTCCTATTTTAAAGTAACTGATAAAAATGTTAGATATAGAATATCATTGGTTATTTTTTTGACTTTCAACAAAAAAGTGGAATATTTATGCTTGCTTGGATTGTTTTGTTTTTTCATTCAGTCAATTATCGACTTTTTAATTGAGCGTCTGCGACGGAAATGTTTCACAGCATCTAAAGGATATTGTTCTCAAGAGCTCAAAAAGATAATTAGCGCGCGATTTATTGCGTGCATATGACAAGCTTAAGCTGTGAACCGACGCGTTACCAACTGAACTCAGCCAATTCAATTATTTTTGTGATTAGGAAACGAGGCGCTTTATAAAACTTTTTGTAGTTACAGTACACTATCATGTGAGGGATAAATTGACAAAAACAAACTTGTTTCAATTATTTCGTCAACTTTTCAACAAAAACTATTTAATTGGCCTTAGAGTGCAGTCGGAACATTTTGGGCTTCTCCCTGATAAACGGGCAGTCTCTTTAGTAAATACTCACATTCAAAGGCAGACACGACTGCTGCTATCAGGGCAAAACCATGAACTTTCTGACTGCTTTTAAAAAAATTATGAGATTTTCAAAACAAATATTTTTTTTTCAGTTTTTTTAGGAAATCATCCTCCCGCACGCATTGTTAAGTACAACGTAATATGTAGCACAAACTAGTAATACATAGTAAAATTTCTAATTAGTTCAAATAGCATGCTTCAATTTATTTTGGAACGAAAAGAGGGATGAAATCTCCGCTCACGCGTTAACAGTGCAAAATATATGGCATATTAATTGTCCTAAATTAACCCAACTGGCACTCTTTAAACCCCCAAAACTTAACGATTGGTCAAAAATTGCTAGCTAAAAATCGAATTTTGTTTGGAGACAAAAGTCACCGGAGCACGAATATTCTGTCACTTTCTCCAAAAACGGAACAATAAAGCAAGAATCAATAATGCATGAAACTACTAACGGGTCGCAATTGACATGTCAGGTTTACATCACTAGGTTTCATGATTTTGACGAATAGCATTATGACAACAACTTAGATGAATGTCAGTCCAAACCTTGTTTTTTTCCCTCGAAAACGTATGAAAGCAGTATTAAATATAATTAAAACTACAAACTGGAAGTGTGTCACTGTGTATGAGTTTGAGTGATCAATGGTCAACTTAACTACGAATAGCTTTGAAAATTGGTCAGGTCGCGCTGTCGAACAGTAGTAATTAAACGCATTTGACCGGTAAAACCGAATCTTAAATTATTCCTACGACTGCACAACTGAGCACAGACAGTTAATACATCCCCGGATGGACAAAAAATGCTTAGCATACAATTTCATATTTCGGAAAAAACTCGTATCATATAGTCTCTTCCAATTGTGTAGAAAAAGAACATTTTATGAAAATCACATTTTTCTTTTTTCCATACAATAGCTGGCACCTTTTCCGCGTAATTTTTTTGAGTTTTGCTTTCTATTTGTGCCTCGCCCTGAGTACAAATACTAAAAAAATCTCAAATGAAAAAATCAACAGAATGTGCGGCGTTGTATCGCAAATAAAACTACGTATTGCTAGATGCCAAGTCAGATAAATTTTGAATTTCACTCAAAATTGTATTTTTTTTGTATATGGCTACGAGGCCTCTGTTTTGAAAAATCAGACGTTGAGAATATGGATTGTTTTTTTGGTTAGGTATAGGCTATATCTTATCATCTGAAACTGAAAACTCTGCCATTACAGAAAACCTTCGATGTGACCCTTGATTCTTTTGTCTATGAAAATTAAGCGCTCGAAGTTTTTTTTAGCTCAAAAGGTCTTTTTTAAAAAAAAACAAGTTTCAAACGTTTTGCGCAAAATTGTGGAGATTTAAACTTTCTAAAACTTTTTGGGTTTTGTAAGAGGTTTCTTTTGATATAACTTTCTCATCAATTTATTTGGTAGAGTTAGAATAGTTCTTGATTAATTAAAAATGCCAAAATTATCAATTTTAGGGGTACAATTTTGTTTGCGGCTTTCGCAAAATAAATTGCACCAAGATAATTTAGCAAAAATCTAAGCAACTTTTGTTTCGTTCATTTTTGTCTAACATTAACCCATTATGAGAAACACGCGTTTAAAGTTTGCAGGCCCTTCGTTTCATCTGGATAATTTACATCAGCACTGTATCTGATATTGCTTTTAATGCATTCGGTTCAGTGGTCGAGATCCAAACCGTAATATGACAATTTGCAACAAAAGGGATCTCGCCAATAAATGCAACTTCTTTTCAGAACAAAATCAATTAGGCGAGGGGGTTGCAAGCGCAGTGGCGGGAGGGGGGGTTAGGGGTGAATGGGCTATACAGAATCACGTGGGTGACTTATTAATTCCTAGATATTTTCTTGAAAATTGGTCTCTACAATTGTTTAGATCACAATAAAAATGGCGACTTTGGAGTCCATGCAAGTGTCCGAGGAACAGCAGAGTCTGATTATGGAGGATGTGCAAGTACTGTTGCCCAATTATGACGATTTCGTTGAGGACGTCCTCCAACAGTGAGTAGAGTATATGAAGAACAAACTCATAGACTCATAGAAGAAATATAATAAGTATCAATAAGTGGACAGATAAAATTAATTAAAAAGAGCAAATGACCTGTTTAAAAAAAAAATATCTGTCAGCATGCAAAAAAAAATTTTCTCAATGTCAAACCTAAAAACTCAAGTATGCATAGAAAAATGCTCAAAACTGACAGACTGCTCTTTTAATTTTTTTTTAAAGCTGGAGCATCCCGACCATAGATATCTTCGTTTAATAAATAAACCAATGGTTGCAAAATTGGCCGTAAAGCAGGTGCGAGTAGACTATACGTTCTCTTCTCTTTAACTTCCAGATATTGTCTTTTTCGCTTTCAAATACCGAAAGGAAAACTTTTTTTCTCCTTTTTTGTGAACTTTTAAAATCATTTAGATGTTGGAGGATGGGCTAATTAAGTTTCAGGAGCTCACTGTTATGGGTTGCTATGGCTGCATAAAAGATTTTTTGGTCCCTTTTCCTTTTTCCCTTCATAGCACTATTTAAAAATTAATAATTAATACATTGCGGCTAAAAAGTTTGGGCACAGAAATTTGCTAAGAATCAGTAAATTTATTCGCATCGCATTTTTATGTAGTAAAAATGGTAACTAAATGTATACATAGTGAAATCTAAATATGTAAAAATGTGAAAGTTCAAAATGATGTGTTATTAGTCAATCATTGTGTCTACCAGCTAATATTTTAGCACTTTAAAGCAGCTGATTTTAAAATCATTTATTTGCTATTCAATTCCTTTTTTATAAACATAAATCGGCGATCAGAGCAAAAGGATAATCTCGAAAAAATTACGAGGACAATTTCGATCAAATATTCTAATACGCAATTTCGAAAAATAATGAATCATTTTTGAAAATTAAAAAAGTTTTTTCACTAAAGTTATGCAGATTTAGGTAATTCTTGCTCGAAATGTATTTTTGATATTAAACTTGTCTTTTTTTACATAATAATCATTTAAATAATTCTGTCCAAACATACAAATACATTTAGTTTGTTCTTCTTATCTTATTTTTTCTGTTTTGTTACAACCGCTTCACGAAGTATGAAAGACCTAAGGAAAAGGAATAGGCTCTGTTTTTTTTCGAACCAACTTTGACTACCTCAACAATAGCTTGGAGGTGGGAGGGGGTCATTTGAGGTATCGTAATGAAACTTTTCAGCCAAGATGTAATTGCGTTTCGAAACAACGTTTTTAAATAGCTGCCTCGGTGAACTAAATAAAGTAATCAGTGACCAGAAAAAAATCAAATCAAATTTACGGTTTTTAGTCTACGTTTGAGCAAATAAGAGGATTTTAGGCCAATTAAATTTAGATTTTCTCAGTTGAGTTCTACTTCAAATTTTTTCTTTGTTTTTGTTGAAACAAATTTAAAAACTAGAGTGGCCACGAAGCCACAAGAGAACCGAGATAGCCAGCTCAATTGACCTTTATCTTTGACCAATTGACATGTTCATAGGGCATAGGGTAGATTAGAATAAGGTAGATTGTCATGGAACGTTAAAACAAGCATAATTTTGCAATTGACTTAAATTGGCATGTCATTTTCGCGTCGTGCTTTTTGTTGATCCGTGTCTTTGTAGTAGTTAGAACATAGTTGAAAGATGCCCGAGGGAAAAAGAGCCCGGCCTGAGGGCACGAAGTGCCCGAGTGCGGTTCTTTTGCCCGAGGCCATCTTCAACTATGTTCTAACTGTTGAAGAGTTTGTTTTTGCTCTTTCTGTTTGTTTTTGCGGCTCTTTTTCCTTTCCCCCCTCCCACCTCGTATGAGCATCACTTTTATGATGTAATGAGTGGTTTTACAAGGTTAATTATGAAGACCAAATATGTTTGTCATGGCCCGATAAGTCCGCATGCCAATTTTCTTGTTAATCGGTTGGTGGGAACAGTAATTTTACTTTTAAAAAATTGCAGGTGGGGAAGAGGAAAAAGAGCCATTTTTGCTCTTTCAATTGTTATAATCGGGCTTTTTTCAAAAAAAGAGCCCGGAAAGTTGTGAAAAGTGCGCGAAACTATGCAAATGATTTCATTTTTTATTCATGCGTTCTAATATTTCATTTTTCATTCATGCCTTGTCGTGAAAAAACATGTGTGAAAGAGCAAAAACATACTCTTCTAATCTTAAAAGTTGAATTGAAAATTTCAGGCCTATTTTTTTTAAATGGACTTTTTTTCTTGTAAATCCGAGCCACGGCCACTAGTTTGTTTGAGGTCGTCAAGTCCGGCGAAAAGGAAACAAAAGTTAATCCATAGTCCCCTCCGGTCACCATAAGCCACGACGCTGTCGTAACAAAAACCAGCTACACCTTGGATCAGGCGCGGATATAGGATTTTCAAAAAAAAATGGAAATTTTTTTTGCCAGTTTTTTTTAGATCAAATTGAACTTCCGAGCCGTCCTAAAACACAATAAGGATCCTTTTTTGAGAAATTTTTCTGCCCACATGCAAACTTTTGGTTGTTTATAGGCATCTTTTGGCACACACTCATAAAAAAAACGGTTTATACTGGCGCGCAAAACGCTTTTTTACAGCTGAAAAAGGATGATGCACAGAACCAAAGAAGTGGCCTTTAGGCGGTGAAGCAGTTAGTACCTGAAATCCGATCGCCCCTCAAAACCGCCAATCTGCTTCTGCCTCGAAACCTAATAACTTGGACTATTTTTGTCTTTAGATTCATGGAAGAAAACCCCGAAACGTTTCAAATATTTCCGTGGGCTGATGCTAGCAAAACAGCGAAAGAGATGAGAAGTCACCCCCGCTTCAAAAGCCACGCCAAGTCCATCGGGAAGGTGATCAGTGACTGTCTGGTGGACTTGAATGGGGTGAAGAAGCACGAGCCGAAGCTGAGCTCTCTGGGGGCGATGCACACGAAGAAGAAGGTGCCGACTGAATTATTCGGGGTCAGTTGATTGTCACCATAGACATTTATTTGACACCAGTTATTTTCCAGAACTCCCCGAACCCCCCCCCCCCCACCACCAACACCACCACCTTGTGTAAGTATGTAAATTTGGACTGGGTTTGGGCGCAGCGGGATTTACAAAGTCTGGATGGACACCAGTAGCGGACCTCGACTCGGAAATTAGACAAATAGTTAGGGAAACAAAATGTTGGAGCTCATTTTAATCGCGGTTCTAAAACACTGTTATTTATAATTTTATCAGTTCTGATGATGACGATCATTTAAAACGATAAATGGCATGAAAAAATATAGCCGAATAAAAAGTTTAATCCTTTTCAATGGTCTAGCTCGGATGACCTGTTTGTAGGAATTAACTTCAATTTGTCTTGACTTTTTGGTATTTTTTCTCCAATGATTGAAGCCAATTTTTGCGGTATAATATTTAGAGCGTCTAATTTGTTCTACGTAAAGCTACTATTAATTCTCCCGGAAAGCTGATTTGATGCAACTAGTTTTTCCTCTGCATAGAAAAAAAGGACGATAAAAAAATTTTAGAAAAATCAATTGTTTCTCAAAAACCACCATGATCGAAACCATGTGTGTTACTTGGGAAATAAACCACCATCGCCTAAGATTGTTTTTTAGAATTGGTTGTCATTATTCTGTGCTGTGTTGCTCAGTCAATTTTTAATCAAAAAACCACATCGTCGGCCAGGCAACTAGGAATACAGTTCCAGTAAGCTTAATCATTGAATTAGTCCTTTTCTATGGGTGGTTTTTTGTCACTACCTGGGTTGACCAGAAATCGCTATCTTAGAGCTCTTCTTATAAAAAAAAATTGAAAAATAGCGGACATTTCCTACAAATCTGATTAGAAGTTCTAAGATAAAGGACTTTTTTGTAGGATGGTCAACCCGGGTAGGTAGCATAGAGAGAGGGATAGTTAAAGAGAGGGGTTGATTGATTGGTTGTTATTGTTGGCACAGAAACTGGGGGGCTGTATCTTGACTCAAGTGGTGAAGAGGGTCTCGGAGGCCAAGTGGAGCGAGGAGAAGAAGGAGGCGTGGCTGAAGGCGTACGGCATCATCACTGTCATGGTCACTGAGTAGAGAGCTCACTGCCGACAATAATCATTAATCAATAACTGTGGACTCAATCACTAACTATGTTTTAGATTAACAGAACGCTGCACATATTTCATTATCTTTTTAAACTTCAATTCAGAATCACAATTACATTGTTTAGATACCTGATTTTAAATAAAACTGAGCCTTCTAATGTCAAAAAATGTACAAAACTATTGAAGGAGCTATTCAGTTAAAATATGTTATGACCATTCTAAGCGTCATTAGTGTATAACGCCGGGCAAGGGTGGATTTAGGATTTTCTCTTTGGGAAGCGGGTCGGATTTTTAAAAAAATTTCGAGATTTTAAGTCGACCTTTTTTTATACAAACTAAATTGATTTTATCGAGCTCTCCCAAAGCCTTACAAATATCCTGATTCGGCCAAATTTTCCCAAAATTTCAAAAATAAAGGCCAAGGTCTTCTTTGGAGCGCGCTTCCTCTTCAAAATTAGTAATTATTGGCGCCAAAGGAACCTTTAGAAAAAACTTAGGGTCCGTCGGCCAAAAAAGGATTTGTCAAAATAGTACAAAATGGGGATCATTTGAGTCGGCTGGGGGGTCGAATCCCTGAGGGGGGATTCTTTTCGAATCCCTGAGGGGTTCGACTCCCCGCACCCCTAATTACACTACCGACGCCTGCGAAAAGTTATCGTCCCACCAATTCAGGAAGCAGTTGGGTATGATATTTTCTGAGGGGCAATTTTTTGTCAGATTTTAGTAATCTCGAAAAAAATGTAGTATCATTTCCAGACCCATTGGCCTTCATTGATATCCAACAAAAATAAACATTTATACTATGGAAAGCCGGTTGCTGTGACAGTAGCAAAGAATATTCTGTCTACATTGTAAAAAACTGCTGAATTTTTTTTCAAATTAGCGTCGTTTCTTCTGCATGGTGTGGCTACAGAATTATACGAACGCGTAGAAAGTTAGTGAATTGGGCGTAAAAAACAAATTATCTTTGAACATTAAATAAAAGAAAGATGAAAAATTAATCCAATATGTTTCCTAATTTTCTGCATTAAATTTTTTAAGTATGTATGAAAGTTTTTATGTTTTTTAATAAGTAAATGTTTAATGAAGCTTCCCAAACTGGTTTTCTTCTTAGTAAAACTAAGTTTTCTAGCCTCAATGACAAATATTTATACCTAACCAACGTGGCTCGATCGCTGTATTCGCTCGAAATTATATTAAAACTCAAAAATTTTAAACCTGTAATTCTTACCACTGGCAATTTTTTTTGGATTTTTGTCGTTCGAATCACGATTGAAAAAAGAGCTTTAATATGATATATCAACTCGACCCTTTTCAACGATTATTCATCACGAGGCCAAACTAAACTGTGCACTAGATAGGCGCACAATTTGGTGTGTGCAGGTCTCTGGAATCCAGAAACAAGTCTTTAAACACATCAAATTTTTGTCGCAATCATCAAAGAAAACGAAGGAACAAATGAAGATAAAAGAGAGCGTCCTAGTGCAGGAATCCGATTACAAATCACATATGCACAGTTTTTTCTGGAAAAAAAAGAAAAAAGTAAAACGCAAAGTTCCTCCACCGAATACAAATTACTCCACAATTCAAATGATCGGAATAAAAATGCTCTTGGTTTCCAGAAATCTGGGCTAAACATTTTAGTTATTAAGACACAAATTTAGCAGAGATCGGAATGCGAACATAAACTGACGTATCTTTACTGTATGTTCTGCAACACTTAAATGGTTCGTCGATCTGCTAAGTATTTGTTTCACTTTGATTAAAATAAGTAGCCATTGGAAGTAAAATAATGGTTCAAACTCTACAACAAATTAATCGGACAAAAATATTAGCGCTAGCAAAAAATGACGCAAAATTTTACATGCCGATCACTCCTCCGATAAAAACAAAATTTGATGATATCGAATGTTATCTAGAAACGCTAACGATTAAGCTAAACCTTACAGTTTTATCAGAATTTTGTTGCCTTGAAATTACTCGTCATAATGTCTGCCAATTAAAGTGAATATTGACAACTGATTTTCTGCAATCATAAATCACGAAATGGAAGTGTAACTTTTAAAGTAAAAAAAGAAACACTATTCCTTCAACAACGAATAGACATGTTAAATGTGTCTCTAAACTTTCCAGTAGTTGTAAGAAAATGTCGTCACAAAAATAACACTAATCCTTTAACAACAAATAGACAAGTTAAATGTGTCTCTAAACTTTCCAGTAGATGTAAGAACATGTCGTCACTTAAAAAATTCTCAAAAACTATCAAAAAGTAAGCGTAATATAAAAGTTTTTTCGAAGAACAAATGGGTGATTTTATGAGCAATAACGGATGAACTTGAAAACAAAACATGAATTTCGACCCACCATTACAATTCCTAAAAAACTGCAAAAATGAAAAAGCTTGAATCACATTTTCACAGAAAAAACCATTTTTAAAAGGTATTTTAACACCAGTCTAAGCGAACACAGATATTTGAACAAGAAGTAGTATAACAGCTCTTTGTGATTGTAAGGGAAAAGTTGTCCAGTTTCCAGAAAGAAGAGTATCAACTTCTGTTTTCATGTTGTTTATCCAAACATTGTCAGAAATAAGTAAATGTTTATGTAGCCTTGAAAAAGAAAAGCAAATGAATGCTTCAATATGAACAACTTCATTTTTAAAACCTTGATTCCTACTTTTTGCGAAGTTGTAGAAACAATAATAAAATGAAGGACAATGAATTTATTCCAGATACTTTAAAATAAAAGCCTTTTTTTGTGTAATAATGGGAGTAAATTGCACCTTGCTATTTTTAGATCAAAATTTTTGCAGCTATCAAAAAAGTTCTTGAAAAAATTACGCATAAGACTTTTAGCATAAGAATAACAGATTTTTTCATTTGGGTCTTATGTATTACCGTACTAGGAGGCATGCAATAGTCTTTTTGATCGAATAATTAAAATTGCTAGCAGAAACAAAAACAGCATCGCTCCAAGAAATCTAGTTAATTGCAGCTTTTAAAGTTTATCGAAGCATTTGACACTGAAGATCAAATAATTTTAATATGAAATCCCTAATTAAATAATCTAATAGACCAATTGATAAAACGCTTGATTCCTATTTTTCTAATAAAAGCCAAAGAATGTTTCCTAAGCTGAAAAAAAAGCAAATCAAAATAAATCTATTAAAATTCCAGAAATTTCGTTTTTGGGACAAACTTTTTTCATTAATCATGATAACCAAAAAATTGAAAGTTCCACTAAAATATACAATAGTGAATAAAAAAAGAATTAAAACTATCTTTTTCGTTAAACAATCAGTAATTGATATTCTAAACTGTCCAGTAATTGTAAAAAAAAATTCGTTAAAAAATCGGTAGTTTATAAAACTCTCAAAACTATCAAAAAGTAAGCGTAACATAAAAGCTTTTTCAAAGAACAAATGGGTGATTTTATGATCAATAACGGATGAAGTTGAAAACAAAACATGAATTTCGACCTGCCATTACAAATCCTAAAAAAAACTGCAAAAGTGAAAAAGCAGTCGAATTTGTTTGAATCAAACATTGAAAGTTAATAAAACTGCCCGTGTTTGTGTCTACCTAAAATTTCATCCATGATCATTGCAAATTAATGGTTGTTTCATATATGATGCATATCAGAAACATGTCCACTTTTTGAATGCGCATTTGAAAAACACATGTGCTGCATTTAAGGCACACTGGTCATATGCATGTCTTAGCAGGTGTACCCATGTCAGATCTGGACCAGACTTGTGCAGGTATGTAACATGTCCTGCCAGAAATTATCAGATATGGATCAGAAATTATCAGATATGTCTTCAAATGTGTGAATGCATAGTCAGGCATGCCGAAACACTTTTTTCTCACGCTAAAGATACGAAAAAGAAAACTACCGTGAAACCAGAAAGTCAATAAGTGAAAAGTGAATCGAAGCATAGCAAATTACAAATGAAAAACAACAGAACATTTTTTTTTCAATCTATGTCCATAGCAGTCATGAAAAGTTTCTGATCATAGTGCAGCTTCGGTGGGTAATCTTGAAACGCTTCATTGAGACTTTTATTTGACGATTGTCTATATATATGTTTAATTCATAACGTTTGTTGAAGTATGAAGCACTGAAACAAAAATTATTCTAACAAAAATTAGCTTCGGTGCTTCATACGTTTTCGTGATAGAATTTAATCGTACATTGTTTTAAGCAAATTCCTCCGCATCCATTAGTCTTACTGGAACAAAAAACAAAGAACTTTTAAAGATATACGATCCTAAGTTCAACCCCTCTTTGTGAATAACATTATAACTATGAATTACTTACCCTTGAGTTGTCGTTCTGGCTTCCCTGCTTTTGGTGCTTTTCTATAAGTACTTTCCTACAAATTAGCAGGATTTTTTATAGCAATATAAATTCGAGCAACCTAAAAAAATATTGTAAATTGTGTAAAATTAAGGAGAAAAAGGTCAACCACTTTCTTTTTTCACTCAGTTGCCAAAAAATTTAAATCAGGCACTTTGGAGAAAACAATTGCTCTTCTTCCCCTGACCGAATCCTTTTCCGACTTCAATTCATCTGAAATCACTGGTCGCGCCACCATTTTTGTTCCTAAAGTTAACAGTTTTTCCCTCTACCGTTTTTTTTACCCCACCCTTACAGTTTTTACCCTTTCCTCCCCCTCTGTTATGACAGTTTTTACCCCCCATCCACCTTAACCGTTTTTTATTCCTCCCCCACTCTAAAGTTTTCACCTCCCCCACACTAACAGTTTTACCCTCCACCACTATAACAGATTCAAACTCCCATAACCCACCCCCATGCTGTCCCCGCACTAGCAGTTTTATCCCGCGACAAAATCAAACAAACAAATATGCAAAAAATTGTAAGAAAAAAAAAGAGCTTTAGAACGTAAAAATATACATGTAAATTAAAACGCAGGGCCAGCAAAACTAAACCAAATCAGATGTGGACAACAAATTCAGTTTTAAAATTGAAGCTAAGGATGAGCGGGTTACGTAGCAGTATTCAGACAGTCGCGTATTCAGACGCTGTATTAACCAATCAGAATCGAGACAAAGAATATCGTTTGTTTCCTTGTCTCGATTCTGATTGGTTAATAGAAGGTCTGAATACGCGGTTGTACAAATACAGACCGCACTCCGGATGA